AAATCTATGAGACTGTTTGTTACATTAGACAGCTTCATTGCCTTCCGTTCAAGCCTCTGATATTCTCTTAAACTGCCTTAAAAATTGCCTAGACGTGTGATGTGCATCAGGACTGATGCTTGCTTGGTCTTACCTGTAAGTTTCTGGCATCAGGCACGGTAATAAGCCGGTGAATCAAAGCAATATCCTTCTGAGCGATGGCTCTTATATCATTTCTGTTTGCGAGAATCAGTGCATTTTGGGTTCCTTTATAAACATTTTGTCGTCGTTTCTAAAATTTCGGTTCATTTGAACAAACCCAATTTCGCACCATTTATCGCAGTTTTTGATCGTATTTGCACTCGCAGCATTTCACAATTGTGTTTACGAAATTCATTTGTCTATCAGTTAGGCATAAACACCTCTTCCATCGCTTAGATTTTCTCCGAATTGACGCCTCCTTTCTTCTAGTTTTCACTGTTTTGATACCTTTTCACTTGAACGAAAATTTTCGTTAGATTCCGATTTGAGAAGAATGTATCATCAATTCGATAGTACATTTTTAAGAATAGCAGAAAAAGCTCGAGAAAAAGCTCTTTAAACGATAACAATAATGTTGGCATTTTCACGGTAGTTTTAGATAATGGTTGATTTTTGAGTGATATGAAACAGGTGTATAAGCTTAAGCTCATGGAGCGTATGCAGCACAGTCAACCGATAAACAACTCCACAAAAGATGTTCTATATGAAAACAATATTTCTCAAATATAACGTCGAACAAACGTTTCTATGGAACTGAGCTTTTCTCACTGTATCTGAAGAAATTTGATCGTAATACTCGCAATCAGATCTCTGAGAATTTGACCACAAATTTCCTCATTGTCAGTATTCAACTCTCAGTATTCAGCGCTTTCTCGCCATCTAAACAGACGAAACAATACAAAAATCAACAAACCTTTCGAGAATAATTTCGCGAAATAACTAATATTCGGAGTGCATTCAGTAATTACATTCAATTTGAGATTTAATTCGTTTCAAATTTGGTCGCTACATATTTAGTGATAACTTCTCATGGAATTGCAGCCGGATTCGCGTGAAACAGGACTGAATTATCGGAGCGTTCAGTCGTATGCACGATACGAAAATCAGCAACAGCCGCCATGCGACATCCATTCAACTAGAGCAACTCTATCACCGGCAGCCACAGCAAATGACAGCCAAGTGCAGCCAAGACTTGTAATGCCTGATTATGGTACATTGGACAGTGCAAGATCACATATGAGTCGACCTCGTTCATTTAGTCCCCTTAAGACACCACGAACACCTTCTGATACCTTACAGAAGAAAAGTCGGTCGAAGTTGGTATAGATATGGTATTTCTAAGCAAATTGTTTCTCTGAGTAATCTGTCAAACCATCAAACAAAATGAAAATGTTTCAATCTGAATATTTTTTCGGCAATCAATATAATGAGTTCAGTGAGTTCAATCAATCAATATAGGTACAATCAAGGCTACCTAGAATTGCCTATTGAGAGCATTTGTCTAAAGTGCGTGATGACTATTAATGCGTCGTGACTTCTTCGATTTCAAATCAGTCTTTCACCTAGAATTAGTCTCAACTTGATGGCATTATATTGATGAGACAATATTTCGCAATGGACTGATTGCATATTTCAGATCTCCTCGGAAGAAAGCCGCCGCTCAGATCACTTCAACAATTGATTATCTCTCATCGCAGTGCCAAACAGAAGGTTGTTGTGCGGCCATTCTTGTGCAGGTG